TTTTTTATATTGACGTAAGTGTCCGAACCAACTTGCGTATATTACGACTAATTCTACAGGTATTGAAATTAACAACTATATAAATTTTTAGTGACCATTGTATGAGTAATTAAAAAATCAAATCTGAAATTATAAAAAAAAAAAAAAAAATCAAATCTGAAATTATAAAAAAAACAAATAGAAATTAACAACTATATAAATTTTTAGTGACCATTGTATGAGTAATTAAAAAATCAAATCTGAAATTATAAAAAAAACAAATATTTTAATTCTAAATTTTTATTACTTAATCATTATTTAAATAATTAAAAAAATAATCACTATTAAAATTATTCGAGGCGGATAGAGTTAAAGCCAGCCCAAGGAAAGGAGCGGTGTGCAATAACAAGGAAGAAAGTCAAGGATTCCAAACGACAGGAATAAAGTAGAACGTGCTGGTTGAAGATAAAATGGCAAATGGACTGCAATAGAGCTTGGGAGTGATAAGGATGAGCTTTATAAAAAATCAAGTGTGATATTTTCATGGAATTAGTTGTTAATTGACTCTCATGGTAGCTTCTGCCATTGGAGACACCACAGTTTTGCTTTTGCCAAATTCTACCACTCTACTGAATATTATTATCAATTCCATTAATAAACACCTCAATTTTATTTTTTTTCATTCAATTTATTCTTATTTTTTATTTTATTTTTCACTCAAGTTATTTTCTCTTTTTCGCATTCTAATCTGCCCTTTTGCTTCCGGTTTAGCAAATCTCAATCTTTTTTATTATTATTTCTATCATTTTTTTTATAAGATCTTTTTTAATTTACATTTAATAGTTATAGTAGTAATAAGGAAGATAAACATAATATAACCAATATTGTTAAAATCACAAATCAAATTATATAATTTACAAGTCAACACAGGTTAAATATGCGAAACCACTTTGAAAATTTAAAAATTATTATTGAAAAATTGAAAATTATTAAAACCAGACTACAATCAGATCACAAATCAAATTATATAATTTACAAGTTAACACAGGTTAAATATACGAAACCATTTTGAAAATTTGAAAATTGTTAAAACCAGACTACAATCAAGTAAAATCAAATAAAATCGAACAAAATTATAATTTTACAACCAATTTCATGATTTTATTAAAATATATATATTACATTAAATTTTTATCTTTAAGTTCAATCCTCTGCATCAACATCAATTACCTATACAACATTTACCCTAATCTCTTTAATATTTTTCTCTCAATCATTCAACAATCAACCACCACTAATAACTCTCTCATTTATTTTTCATTGTTGACTGCATCCTTTTCCCCAATCACTTGAGCTCCAGACACTGGCATCCTCTCTGCTAGTAATTGTAAGTTATTCTGTTTTTTTTGTTCCATTATGCATTGGCTAAGGATTATTTTACATTACTGCTCTTTTTTTTT